GTGATTTTCTTTTTACTTTATTTTTCAATTAAGGTTTCCTCGACGTTGTGTAGTATTTTGTGTAGTATTTTAATTCTTATCCAAGTCAAGGCTATTCCAAGTCAAATCACCTTTTTCTTTTTTTACCTTTTTTTTTTTTTCTTCATGTTTCACTGGATGTTCTTTTACTTCTCAAAGCCAAAGACGACGCAAACCAGTTTACCCGACAAAATCTTTTGATATTGCTACCATGTTCCAGACGAGATGCCTTTATATTGTGTAAACTGAGCCCGGTTTATGAGGCCAACCTAAGTACAAAGCAATCGAGCCAACAACAATCGAGTTTCCCCGTGATGAAAATCATAATCGAAGCGAGAAGAATATTACGTCTGACTCTCTAGCAATCATTTTAATAATTTTGACTATTTTTTTTTTTTTTTAGTATTTTTTTTTTGGTCGTTTCGTTGGTTTTGTTTTGTTCGTTCCGTTTTGTTGTTTCGGGTTTTAGTAGGCATGCCTTCCCAAACAGTTCCGAAACAGCCTGTATACTTATATCTTTTTGTAACCCATACCGGATGCAGATAACGGATTCATATTTCACAAGAGGTCTTCCTTCTTAAGAGCACTTTAGTACACCGAAACTTAATTTGCACTCACTTCTGATAGTTAATTAAGTTACAGTTTAACTGTTGCAGGGAGAAGTAAATTTTTTTTAAATCTTGAGCCTCGTGAATTATGAATGAAATGACCCTAATGACCCGTGGTGAACTCAAATGTAAAATGAATTCACGTGCATAGAAGGCTTCGAACATGCGATCAAGCGTTCAGATACTCGGCAGAATTCGCCGCAAATTGAAGAAGGATGGTGAGAGATCAGGGAGTCTCAGTTCGTAATTCAGCCGCGCAAAATTATCCTCAAACTAGAGAAAGGATAAAAAGAGAACGATAACAACTTTCAAAACAACGATTGGATTTATTTGCATTACTAAAAGAAAAATTAACAAAAACGCGTCACTCGACACGGACAAACGATAGTAACCTTGATATTATGTAACTGCGAAAATTTAACTTCAGAAGAGTTTAGAGTTTGTATCTCTTGTTTTTTTCCTGCCAAGTTTCGCAATTCCTCAGTAAAAACCCAGTATCGTTATTCTACTTTTAAACGTATTTCCAATTGAACAAGTTTCCATTTGAAAACCACAACTGTCATTCTTCTCGACTATACAAATCATTATCAACGCGCGAATATCACGATAGCTTGGTTTGAATCGACCTTGAAGCCGATATTTTGCAATCTTGTTTCGTAATCTGTTTTTTTTTTTTTTTTTGTAACTCTAATACTTCAGGATATCCTTAAGACCACCTACTCCAGAAACAAATGTATGCTCATTTGTCTAATGTCTCGAATGGCTTTCGATTTAAGAAATCGGTTTCCTTAATTATCGATTCGCGTCCTACTTGAACACCCAGCCGGGTTTTCTGAAGGTTTACTTTTTAGTCTTCGTTGTCGCATTCAAAGCCACTTTGCCTCCGTGATCTCTTTTATAAACAGCGAGTGTTTAGAAAACGGCAGAGTTTACAAAACAGTGACTGATGTAACCAATGAACAGCGAAAATTCTTCAAATGAAGCAGTACCTGACCAAAAATAGAAGTAAATTGCAACTGCCGGTAAAGCGATCTTGAGGATTTCTCAATTGTAGATAGGCGGAAATAGGCGTGAGTGAACACAAAACGTAAACATACCACTCCACGAAACTAAGGGTGACGAAGAATAAGAGCCAGTGGCAAGGTCTGCGTCAAGAAATTTCGCTCTCGTTTTGGTGGTAAATCAAAAATGAAAATAAGCGCCATTATTATCTAATTGTGCTTTGTAGAGTGCAAATAACGCGCGAGACGAGTACAAATATCACGCGATATTTGTACTCCAGAAATATCCGCGAAATTCGCCCGCACTGAAATAACAACTTGGTGTTTTGGATAATAAATCTCTTATTAGACGTTTTGTTGTGTAGTATCGCTGAGTATTTTTACTCGTTGTTTGTATTTTGACGAGCCCTACGGGCTAGTCAAAATACTGCACAACTCGTAAAAATACTCAGCAATACTACACAACAAAACGTCAAATAAGATATATGTAATGCAAGATCCTAATCCGAAAAAAGCACTCATAGGATTGTGAATGATTTATATCACAAACTTAATTAAAGAGCCGAAAACCCTTCTACTGAATAATATATCCAGTTTAAATTTGTAGTTGGTTTTTTGATGAGTACGTGCCTTCCTTAAACTTTCATCTGGAATCTGTAATACTGAAGATAATGTTTTCGTCTTGGAGTCCGTTTCACTACATTGCATGGAACATCCTGAACAAACTATAAACTTTATCCATTTAGCTCCGAAATTGGCATTGCGGAAATCCAAGAGAGTGTCCTTCAGTTATCTTTTTAAAGAATCTGAATAATGTTATTTTTGGAAGACAAGAGTTTACCAATACAATTCAAAACCTGTTGAATGTCAAGTTTAATTGAAGCTCCAAAGGTCATTAACAATCATGTTGCATGCCTGTGTCCTTTCTCTGTGGTATCGACGTGATCATTGGAAATACTGAAGAATCAGAAGTTTTTTAAATTAGGAAAAAAATAAATCGACGTTGAGATAATGGATATATGCTTGCTAACATTTTGACTTCGCTATTCGAAATTCAGAGAGGTTTTCACCCGTTAAACTCTAACTTAGACGAGTGCAGGGAACTGCAAAAAGGCGAATAAACGGTTAAAATAATTATCTTTCTTCACACGTTGACTGACACCCAGGCATTTTTATGCTATCAACGCATTTTGTCACTGGTTTGTGGTTAAATAGCTATACTGGGGTTACTGCGCGGTTTTGGCTGATGTTTCGAGCTTTTAGCTTTTAGGCAAGATGCCTAAGAATACATGCTTAATGTGGTTAGATTATGATCTTTCCAGTGTTGTATCGTCGTTACCTTAAACGATCGATAGGCAAACCTAATGATCACAAGTAATATTGGCACTAGTTTGCATCCTGCAAGTCAGCCCACGCGCGTAACAACAACCCAAGGGAAATCGGTACATATCAGGCGTCTCTGATGTGGGCTTATCTTTCTCATGAAGTCACTTATTAAAGTAAGCGGATTTTTGACTCCCAATTATCTGGTTCTGTTTGCTTTATCGAAAGGACTAGGAGGAGCTTTTGGTAAAATAAAAAAGAAAAACACTGAATCCTCCTATGGTTTTTAAAAGTAGTTGATCGATTTTCGTTCAGTTTGATCCACAAACCTAAACAGTGTGAACAAATATAACTAACACAGACCAGAAAAAGCTTGCAACATGCCTCGCGGGTGGCGTGTTATAACCTCACAGCATATAAGCCTGGCTGAGAGCATCCTAGGAACTAACACAGCATATCTTTCTCTAGGAGTCTCTTTTGTAAACGACAGAAAGATATGGAGGTAAGAGCCTACATACCAAGCATATATACAAGACACGGTAAAAACCTTTGGGTGATTCGCGGCGATTCATGTGTGGGATAAAATTTAGATTTCTCCAGAATATGGCTTGGATTCTTCAAGACGAACTGTAACTAAATCCGCAAGTTATTTTCTCATCTTAACAGCGCTGTAATTTATAACTGGAACATTTAACACATAAATAAGTTCGTTATGTTTACATTTCCACCTCACTGATTTAAAATATTCATGTTTTGCCTTTACGGGCGAATGAAGTGGTCATGCTTGCCTGCACCTATCACTGGGAGATTTCGAAACATAATAAGCGCAATGATCGACGTGAGTTTTTGAACGTCACGTCCTAACTTCCGGTACTCAGTATCTGCTAAATATCCTTACACCCGAGTTTAAAGTACATATAACACGATCAAGCCGGCAACAAAGCCATAACGCCGTGATTTGTTGATAGAACGCATTTGATTGGGATAATAAGCTGTAGTTCTCTTTTAGTGTTTTTAAGTGATTACGGGGATATTTCTGTTCGCCCTAAACATAGTATGTTTATTTGTTGTCAACCTGTGTGGCGTCGTTCATATTAACTACACTAGATAAAGTGTCCCAAACGAGGGTTCCAAAGTAGCGATCGTTGAATAAAGATCATGTTTGACTGAAAGGTGGCCTCTTAAGGTCACAAATGAGAGATTTTACATATCATAAAAATACTCTTTTTTTGTGCGAACAAGACGATGTCGTCCCGATGACCTCGGATGCATCAATACTGAGCATGTAAAATGTCAAAGTAGCGTCTCTTCGTCCCCCGTTTATGTGCCAGAGGTGTCAAAGTTCTTTGAATTTACATAGCTATGGAACAACGTTTGCAATCATTCGTAAAAAATTTTCCATTTCAGTCGTCGGTCTTAACAACAGGAAACCGCAGGATTGTTCAGAGCGGAAGCGATCGTGAAATGGGATGGCTTTCCGCCAAAAATTTGAGGATGCAACAGGCCCTATGCATTTGATCTTCTTGTAATGATGGTTTGTTTTTGTGTGACATGACATGGTTGACGAATCATGGATGTCAGATCTAATTAATTTTCTCTTTTCAAATTCAACCTTATGCCCCCACAACGGGTTAAGGCGAAATTTACCAAAAAAAAATTGTTTAGAGAAGGTTCGGGGTGAGCGAAAACGTGCCAGCTCCTCCGCGCGAAACCCAGTGGATCGCGATTCCTGTCACGTACAATCCTGCAGTTCGCTGGCTCAATCTCTCCATTGTTTCATATTACATAAAATTAGATGTAACACGCTTGTGTTCTCAGTAATTTACGGCCGGCAGGCATCGTAAATACGCACTCCTCATTGGCCAGTGTTCATGTTAACTGGGTTTTTGATTGACAGATACGTAATGTCAAAATGTAATGGCCATGTGAATTCTTTTCCCGCCACGCCTTCTCATCAGATGAAACGAATTGTGATTGGCTCTTTCAAAACGGAACAAAGCCGCTGGTAACTCAAAGGAAACCGTGTGCATGAAAGTGACGCAGCGAATGAACACACTGTAGTGAAGCAGAGAGAGTCGATCACATGTGCTCGAGGAGCGAAAATCATTCCATTGCATAGATCGCCAAGGACACAGTGGTAACTGTGACTTGCGCCCAGTTTATTCAGATTCAATGCGATTATTTTGCGACGGTGAAATGGCCGAGGGCTTGGATAAGTTAGCTGGACAAACCAAAATACCTTGTCCTCTATGTCAGAACGGCTTCGACGATCCAAAAGTTTTGCCGTGTTTACATACTTTTTGTAAGAACTGCCTGACGGAAGCGGTGGAAAATGGTCGGTTAAAATGCCCAACTTGTCGTCTAAACGTTCCTCTGTCTGAGGCCGGAATAGACGGATTGCCTACCAACATCTTCAGTCATAATATTTTGGATGTGCTAGTTCCGAGCCAAGAAAGCTTCGAAACGAGCAGCTTGATACGAGCCGTGATCCGTGATTGCAATAACTGTAGTGAAGGATCAATGGTAACGGCGCACTGTAAAGACTGCAGTGAGTATTTATGTGAAAGTTGTGTTAGAGCTCATCAAAGGGTCCGAATGACCAAAGATCATCGAATCGTTTCATTTATTGAAGAAGCTGCTATGATGCAGAACAAAACGACCCTTGCCACATCAACGTTAGCGTCATCGCCGACCATTTCAATTTCGCCCTTGCCGACGATGGGCGATAAAACTCCTTCGGAAGGGTTGATAAAATGTGGAAAACACGAAACTGAATTTTTGCGGCTTTACTGCGAGACGTGTTTTACTCCGGTCTGTAGTGAGTGTACTTTCCAAGATCATCGAGGCCATAGTTTCCAGTACCTTCGCGAGGCGGTTGAATCAACTAAAGCGATCGTGGGAAAGTTGATCGTTGATGCGAAAACAGAGATTTGTAAATTGGAAGAATCGGTGAGTTCATCGCAAGCGATCGCAGAGCAAGTGGAATACAGGGCACAAACAGTCTCCAACGAGATCAGGCAAACCGTACGCAGACACATGGCTGCATTAGAGGAGCGAGAGAGAGAGCTCTTACGACGCGTGGAGAAAGTGCGCCAAATAAAAGGTAAATCCCTTCATTTACAGATCGATGAACTCAAGACTAGCTTAGGTAAAGTTTTAAACGTTTGCGAATCGTCTGAGAGGACGTTAGAACTGAGCTCGGACCCGGAATTGCTTGCCGCTAAGGGTCGTTTATCAGAACACCTAAATGAACTTAGAGCGAAACGTGGCCTATTACAACCCCACGAAGATGACGCCATATTATTCACACCTCCAGACCAGGCTTTGCAAACAGCCATTAGTTCTCTGGGTATTGTTAGTAGTAGTGCTTTCACTCCGTATTCTTGTGCAACTGGCGACGGGTTAAGACGAGGTATTCGCGGCAAAGTTGCTATGTTTATGGTGCAAGCTAAAGATCATCAAGGCGAAAACCGCTGTATCGGAGGGGACCCCTTGCTCGTCCAAGTACAAGGTCCTGATGGGATCTTCTATCGAGCAGAGGTTAGCGATCGACAAAATGGAACTTACACAGTTTCTTATCGTCCTCAAGTGACTGGAGAACATATTATTTCAGTGACCATACGCGGTCAACACATAAACGATTCTCCGTTCAGAGTAACAGTTATCAAGGGTCGAAATTACGTTGGCATAGGGCCAGTCGTTCGTTTTTTCGGCTCTGAGGGTGAAGCTGATGGTGAACTTTGTCGTCCATGGGGCGTTTGCTGCGATAAAGATGGCAATATTATCGTTGCTGATCGAAGCAACAACCGTATTCAAGTCTTCGATTGCTACGGGAATTTTCGTCTCAAGTTCGGATCTGCAGGCTCTAGAAATGGACAGTTTGATCGGCCGGCAGGGGTGACTTGTGACACCGATGGACGTATTATCGTTGCTGATAAGGACAACCATCGTATCCAAGTTTTCAACGCCGATGGAACTTTCATTCTAAAATTTGGCGATAAAGGTTGCAAGAATGGCCAGTTTAGCTACCCCTGGGACGTGGCTTGCAACAGCGAGGGTAACATTCTAGTTTCGGACACGCGTAATCACCGTGTCCAACTCTTCAACAGGGAGGGCAAGTTCCTCGGCAAGTTTGGCTTTGAAGGCATCCACTGGAAAGAGTTTGATTCTCCCCGCGGTGTAGCGTTTAATCATGAAGGCCATATGATCGTCACCGACTTCAACAACCACAGATTCCTTGTGATCAGAGCGGACTTCCAACATGCCTGGTTTTTGGGAGTGGAGGGTAGTAAGAACACAGAGTTCCTACGCCCTCAAGGAGTCGCTGTGGACCAAGAAGGAAACATCATCGTTGCTGACTCAAAGAATCATCGAATTCAGATCTTCCAACCCAATGGAAACTTCCTCTGCAAGTTTGGAATACACGGCAATGCACCTGGCCAGCTTGATCGCCCCTCAGGTATATGTGTAAGCAACGAAGGAGCTATCATTGTAGTAGATTTTGGCAACAATCGCATACAAGTGTTTTAACCATTGACAAACGCAGGTTGATGTGTAGTTGCTTTTTCACTATCGTGTGAAGTAGATTTCTATTAAGAACGTCTAGGCGATAAGGTTAATTTTTTGCCCGGCAAGATGTTCTTCAATTTGAACGCCGCGAGATAATGTAAACATTTGCATGACAGCAGAAATCAAGGGACTTTCTACCATCGATCGTTTGTTAATTATTAAGGGTTGCTATTCTTAAGCTTTAAAATATATTTTTGATTTCGAGTAGTGTGTCAAGCGCTAGAAATTGGAGAATGGCTCAGAGAGATTTTTAAAGCAGAGTTGCATGGTTTAAGCCAAACCCACTATCCAAGAATTTGTATTTCACGACATTTTTTGCTGACAACATACACGCCGTCTTTCGTCTCCACACAAATTCGTCACTAATTTAAAGAGCTCGTGTACTTTTCGGTAAATTCAAAACACAACTTGTTAGGCAGAAATATTGTGCGAAATTTATAGCGTATTTCTTGGAATGTATTTATTTGATTCCTTCGTGAAAATGTGGCATGAATTATGTTCATTGCCGCACCTCTGGTTCGTACCAACATTTTAACATGTCGTAAGCTCATAGTCTATTTAAATGCCGAGTTTTGCTTGATTATTTAAAGCGTTTCTCTAGAAAGAAACAGTAAGAAGAATTAACTATTTGTGTAAGGCTCTCATTTTGACAACGTACATTAGAGGAGTGGTTAATAACATAATTTGGACGCTGAACTCAAACGGACCGACGGTATGGCCTGAAAAAAAGGAAAGGTGTGAATGGTCTCAATAGAGGTTCGTTTACCATTCAATTTGCTTTTGCCTTGAGAAGCGGAAAAGGTTTCACAATTTTCATAGCTTTGTTTTTGTTCTAAGTTATGCCATTGTTAACGCCACTTCGGAGAATTCTTTGAGCTAATTCTTGAAATTGGTGTGTTAACTTAATCTTCCCTACGTGAAAAAGAAACCATCAAAAGCGTCCCCATTTCTTTTCAAAACTTTTTCTACATTGGCTCTGGTGGATACAATATTATCCCATGGGCATCCTTTTTTTTTTTTTTTTTTTTTTTTTTTTTTTTTTTTTTTTTTTTTTTTTCGAGAACTAAATCAAGTCGTTGGTACTGCAATGATGTACCTAGGAAGACCACGGCTATCCCGAGAGAGGATTCGTTCCGTGAATTGAACAAAAACAAGTTAACAATATTTTGGTTGAAAAGAACGTTGTTACCTTAGTTAAGCAACGCCTGATAGTCCCCGAAAATGTTAAGGAAAGTTTATTCGGTTGAACGCGAGAAAATCGCAGTTGTTATAGATAATTTTAGAGAATTACGCGTCCTGGGAATTAAAATCGAAGTAGATCGTAGAATACAGTTGTTAGTTTTAATTGTAGAAGTAGTCATCGGTGTTAAAACAGAACTAGAGAAAGTTTTCAAACGATTTAATTTTCCCAGCCTAATAAATTTCTGAAGATGTGTTATTTTTTATCACGAACGTGAATATTTTGTGCACACGTACAATAACGTAATCGTTGACTTCAAAGATCGACTAAATATATATTATGAATGAGATATATATTCCTAATGTTAGATATATTTTTTGTTTCAGTAATAATATTTCAGTTTGAAGAGAAAATAAAGCGACAACGCAAATGTTAAATTAATTGTGCCTCGAAATCGAATCGGTTCGCTTATTAAAGTGAGACAAATTCAAGATTGCAGCCAAACCTTCGAAATGGAAGGTTTATGAATGTTTAGTACTTTCATTGGTATATTGTGTTCTCGTAGAGTGTCAAGGTAACTCTTAGCTAACAGCGCTAAATTTGTTCACGTTTGAATTTTTAATTTGAAGATCGATGGACAAAAAACAGTTTTTTAATGTGTTAATGTTATGTTCATTCACTCATTAAAAACGCATTGTGATACTAGTTAAAGTGAGGTTAACAAATTTTGATCCAATTTCGTCTTGGAATTACAAGTTTGCAATCTGAGCAAACAGGTCAAAGTTAGATTTTTTTTCTGATCTTAAAAGAATCGGCAAATTAGATGATTGCGACAAAGTTGATTTCAACGGAATTACGGCCAAAGGATAAAATTCCATGTTGTACACATCCTAGTATCACAACCTTCCCAATAAAAAAAAATTCTGAAACTGTCAATGATCATCGCAATGTTGAAATATGCTGTAGATCATTCGTTCAAGGTTTTGATTACCCAATTAATTCCTAAAGATTGTTTGAGTGTATTCCTAGCAAATGTGCTAAGCTTTGTCTTTGCAATTCATGAAATGCAACTTTGTGACATTATTTATTGAATGAGCTTTCAAGCATAATATCTTATTCTACCAGCCTCTCAAAAGAATATTTCATTTATCTTAAGGTGTAGAAATCTTGCTTCTCAGATTTGAACACTTTCTTTGACAATTTCCTGTACAGTTTATCTTCAAAGTTGGATTTGAGGAATTGCAAAGGTTCTTCTAAACAATAATTTTGTGCTCTAATATCACTGTTCATAACAAGGACAGCTAAATGTTATAATATAATACTCAGGATTGTTTCGTATTAATTTATTGAATAAAATTTAAACAGTTTCAATCTATTTACTTATTGTGCAAGTCATTGTGTGCCACTCAATAAGAGTGTTGAAATTTATGGGGGACTTTGGGTTAATAACGCAAATTTAACTTGCCAGGGGTTTCATTTATGTTTTCAGCAGAGGGGCAACTGGTTTTCACAGATGGGCTAAACTTTTTGAACTGAACTTCTCTTTGAGCTAAGCTTTCCTCCAGATCATCAAACCAGGTGGGCAACACCATCCTCACGACCGGTCAATTTACCCAGTGCCCAGGCCCTTAATGAAACTCCTGTTTGCTTTGGCAAGATGGCCCATGGGGTGGTTTCTAGTGTGAGTAGGGATACTGTCATACCCCGTGCATAGGATGCCAGTCTTCTGAAGGTGCTCTTCCATGATTTTGTCAATTTTCCTTAACAACTTGCTAGTATTCAATTATTCTCCTGACAGAAGAGATATACTGTTAATTGAGATACCCTTCACAATGACCTTTATGATCCATTACCAATACCAGCACACTAAACATGAATCTACTGTGTTTTTCTCTGCAAATTCAACCAGTAATTCCCTTCACTCCACAACCATTGTAGATATTGTTCTAGCAAGCATCTTGTAGAATGTCCGTCACAGTTGGAAACAGTTTAAGTGAGTTGGGTTGAGGAAAACGGTGATGGGGCAGTGCAAGAGTTCTCACCTACCTGGCCTTGCATTCCTGGACCTTGTGTTACATGAAGATCAACTCTGTTGTTGGTTCTCACTCTTGCTCCTATTTTTTTCCTGATGTCACTGAATCCAACACCTCAAAATTCTACTTCTGGAAAGTACCACAGCCAAGATCTAATGTATCTACTATGTAATGTTATTTCACGTGACTAGGGATCATTTCAGACGCATGGTAATGGTTGTAACAAAGAACCTGTCTAAGCTTAGAAGCATATTTCAAACGAGAATTTTATCGGAAAAGAACATTGGAAACTATATCTTATTAAGAAATGTTCCTCTTGCTTGTTTTGGGATACTGTGGTTGCTATGTGTGGAAAAGGTCAGCAACTACGAACATGATTGGAGGGAGAGAGAAGGAAAATGGCTTAACATCAGTAAATAAAGTGTGAAATCAGACCTTGGTCTTATAAACCCTGCCATCGGCAAGCGGCCTTAGCCTTTTCAAGACCCCCCACCACAGTTTTCCACTACACAAACCTTGCAGCTGCCAAGGAAATACATACAGAGAGCATCATGCAAGTAATTAATATACTGGAGTGGTGTTAAAAAAAAAAAAAAAAAAAAAAAAAAAAAAAAAAAGAAAGAAAGCCACAAGGTCAAGCCACAGAACTTTCATGGTATTTCCTAAGTTTTAAGAGTAAGCCAACTTGACATGTTAAGCTGAGATTTCCTGGCCTATGTCTAATGCAATTAACAGCCAATGCTCAACAGCATCTGGAAATGGAGGAATTCTCCAGTGCAACTATTTTTCCCCTGAGCTATTTTTGATTTCAGACAGGACAGAAACAGATTGTACCATTACTTCACATTACTCTCCCTCAACTACATTTCTTGACAAAACCCTGGGAGTTGGCAGGTGTTTACATTGTGATATGAAAATTACATTACTATCCAGTCTAGAAGACCTTAATTTCTGCACAGAAATTTTAAGTTGAGCCTATACCTTGACAATTTAAGACATGGTTTGCCACCTGCACTGGATATTCAAATATATAATGAATTGGCAAAGTTAGCAAGCCTAATGATAAAACATACACAGTATCAATGTAAACTGTTTTCACACTAAAACCACACACCAAATGGGTCATATTTCAACTGAATCTCTCACCACAAATCATATGGAACAGGATGTTTGGGAAATTATTTCTGTAACTCACACTCTACTATCTGCTTATTGTATTAAATACCAGACACTTCCCTTGATCTGTAATCAGTGTATCAAAGACTTTTTTTTATGAGTTCTACTTTGCATTTGCTACTTTTTCATGTTTTACAGAGACAGATTTCTGCAATTCAAGATAACTAAAACTCCTTCTGAGAGCTTATTTTTTCCAGTTTTCAGTGCAAGCAGCAGAGCATTTGTGAGAAATCAACATAACTCTGATTTTCTACCTTGGAAGTAAATAATTTGGAGATAAATATTTTGTGAAGAGCAAACACAGAATCAGAATTGAAACTTGATTTGTATGCAGAGGTTTCACAATTCACTGGATGTTGTAAAAGTTTCCTACATTTCATTTTGCTGTAGATTTCCATCAGCTTGAATCTGTTTTTACGGACAGAGGACCATCTAAAAAAATCCCCAGAAATTAAACATACAAAATGTTCATGCTACACTGCAAGCCAAGTTTGAGTGATGCAACTTGTGTAAAATTTTCATCACCATAGGAAATATCTGAAAGATTTGTCACCATTATTTGGTCTTTAAAACTTTGGTAGTTTCAACCAGTACTTGAAGGAGGGTTACCATTATTGTCTTTTATCCAGTTAAGTTTAAACTGAGGCAGATGTCCCATTTGTGTTGTGGCATAAAGGGATCCAAGTGCAATTTTTCTACTGTCAAGATCATTCAAGGCCAGACTTTGTGAATAAATTTCCTGAATTTTGAAGCATCCTTTATCACGTGTGTTACTGTTTGCTATGTCTCCAAGTTGGTAAAATTATTCAACATTTTTCTGTCAATACGAGAAGTCATAGCCTTCAACTGCTTTCCAGGGCCCACTTCAAAGATGTTTTCCAAGTTGGTCCTTTGTTTCATTATGTTTTGGATTGTTTTCATCCAGTTCACTGGCTCCACAAGTTGCTGTACAAGCAATCTGCAAAAAAAAAAAAAAAAAAAAAAAAGAAAATTGACATGGGGCATTTTAACCCTGAAAACAGCTTTCTGTTTTCTTTGAAGAGTCACATCAAAGATTTCTGTTAAAATTCAGTGCTTTGTCTTCAAGCATTCTGTTAGTAAGCTGGTTCCTCAGGAGCTGTCATAAGGATTGCAGTATGCAGGGAGAGGAGCAGCTACAGTGATGAAAAGTGTTTACTGATTCAGTTGAGGAACTAAAACCTGCTTTGGAGGACAGAGGCAGTGTATGGCAATGGTTTGAGCAAGAGCTCAGCCTGATTGAATTAAAGTTTATCATCAGTCACCTACTGGTAGAAAAGTGTTATTATGATAACTGTACAGTTTGGATGAGTTTATATTTTTGCTTTACAGAGGACCAAATTAACATTGTTGCTCAATAATCCATAGTTACTCTTACATGTCATACACTTCTATGCATGTAAATGAGGTTCTATAAGTCACACTAAACAAAGTTATTGGTTACGCTCTCCCAATCTTAGATTGCTTGTTAACTAAGTATCTAAAAATAAAATAATCACAAAGGAAATTTTAAGAGACAAACAAAACAGTTCCCCATGGATTTCTTCAAAGCTGTGAAACCACAAGCACAGTATTAGAATTAAATACATGTAGCTACTGGTGGTAGATATTGTATTCTAAGTTCTATAAGAAACATGAATTACATATTACAGAGAAAGCTTGATATTACCTTAGAAAAAGGAGCAAATGGTACAGGAACATAAAGGTACACAGCATTTGAAATAAGCAGCACAAATTTGACCGTTTCCAGCAGATTGAGGTTCAGTTGTTTTTACAATGTCATGCTTGACGAGTGTCAAAACACAATTCAACCACTTCTGAGAAAATGCAAATTCAAAAGCCAAACCTGATAAAGAATAATGGTAGCTGATTGAGGTGCAGTTCTGCTATTTATAAAAAAATACTAACTGCTGCTCACAATCCTGTGAGTAAATAAAACATTATTTTGAATCATAATTATGAGTGAGTGAAGGTAATCTAAGAAGCAACAACATAAACTGATAAAACTTCATATGAAAGCCATTGAATCTAACTAATCTTAGGCTTTGTTCAGCTATTTTTGAAATGACCTTAAGTTACAAACAACCTGCTTCCATCAGATTCTTGCAGAAACACTCAAAATGGAAGTAAAGACTTCTGGAAAGGCATTGTCAATTGCATTTGACCAGATTTGAATAAAAAGATAAAATTGGATCACATCCAGATGAACTGATTGTGGTTGATCAATCTCAGTAACTTAATATCCAGGTGTAATTTCAAAAACCTCTGTCACAAAATAAAACAAAAAACAATAGCTGAAAGACTTGATCTCCATCATGCTAAGCAGATACCACCATGCATGAAATTTATTCAAACAATTTCTTTGGTATGTATAAGTTCTGCTCACAGTTCTTAAGTTACAAGCTTTTCTCTTATTGAAAAGTGATGTGTTGAATATTTTCCTTAGCTTTTGCCTGATAGTAATGATTAACAGTTCACACTTAACTTGGTCATAATAATTTTTTTATTATGACTAAGTTAAGTGTGAACTGTTAATCATTACTTAACTTATTATTCTTTACAACCTTTTCATCAAAAACAATGTTGATGTTCTCAATGCTTTCAGTATAACAGGTGATACAGCAAGGTACAATGCTTTACTCATAACTGTTTCTTAAAGGGAAAGGCTGCAAGTGTTTGTCATGTGTTAAGCAGCCATTGCAGAGTGGAAGAATTACACAGCCTAATTTACAAGACAAACTTTAGAATTCTTCCTGATGGTAAGAAAAAAAGCAGAAAAACAAAACTTCCTATAAAAGAAACAACTTATTTATGGTAAGTTTGTAAAATGTGTTTTGACGTTACCTATGTCATCTTCAGTTGCAAATGCTTGTGTTACAACTTCAGTTTTTACTTTACAAATTTGTTATTGAATTATGACATAACATCACACTATGCAGATTTGCAAACTGTACACTGTTTATGCTGTAGAATGAAATTAAACATGTCAAAGTTAAGGAAACATTGCACCTGAACACTAATTCCTTGGTTGGGGCACAGTGATCTTCATTCAAACACAAAAAGGATTAGAGAAGCTGGGGGCTTCAACTTTGTTCAGTAGTTTTACCATTAGTAACAGCATGAGATGCCATCAATGGTTGATTAAACCAAGATGCATCTTTTGAGCTGCCCCAGGCTGAAAAAGATTTCTGCATCCAATTAATTTTTACACCCTTGAGTGAAAATTAAGGCTTAGTTTTTTTCACTGACAGCTACTCAACTACAACATCAGTATAAAATATTGTGTTTTCCAGACCGTTCTTTATACTTTTCCTAAAGTGCTTACAAGGAGAATTTGTGGGATTATCACATTCAAGCTTTTTGAGTTAGTGATCATTTCCTTTATTCTCATGACCTATGGGAAAATGTTTGATTCACCAGTAATGCTGTATGGAGTAATTGGATCCATTAGTGATGCTTAGGTTTAACCAGCAACCAAATAATATTGGACTTGCAGTAAATATTTACCACAACACAACCCTTGATAGATAGATGGATAGCATTACTAAAAATCACATGGCAGCCAGATGAGGCTGAATTGTATGGTTATTTACAATACAATACTGGCTAAAGTTATCAATTATATTTACAGAGCATATTATTTACAAGAATAATATAAGAATAATACACTGACCTATTGTCTTGAACTAAATTCATATCCATAACTGGTTATTCCCAGACTTACTATCACTGACTTAGTGATAATTTAGAGCTTATTCATACTGCACCCAGTATATAACCTTGGTAACTAACCTAGCTTAATATATGACTGAACAGAAAGACTTCAAAAGCTCACAACAATTTCTTTGGCAAGAAAAGATTACATCAATAAAACCAATAGCTACTGACAGTAACTACCACTTGATGCTGATGATATTGATGGTTTCTTCTTCTTACCACGATCAGCTTCCCTTGCACAGGGTTTCAATAACTTTATCAATAAAGTTAGGGGGCCATGAGGCAAAACCCAAAGAGAGTCTACTTGCAAGCTAAAGAGATGGTGATAAAGTGTCTTATTATATTTCTGGCAGGGTTCAACACTAACTTTTCAACTAACTAGCCAAGTGGCTAGTGACATCTTAGATGTTACAACAATTTCAGTTTGTTTACTTGCCAAACTGGCTTGTAGAAATCAAAAACCACTTGCCAAAACTGAATTTCTTATAGTCTGTGGGTATTGGTCTACTGTTAGTGTCAAGCCCTATTATTCTGGTATTGCCCATGGGCAATATGAAGTATATCCTGCATTCTAATTAACTACACAAGCCCATCTTGCTGACTCGGGATTGCCCCACTTTGATCCTGCACAGGAAAAATATTGCAAGGAGCGGACTTACAAAGTGCGTAATTTTTTGACAGTGTGGGCTATGGAGTCACAAAAAGTGGAAGAAAGAAGACATTCAAAACAAAGAAAACATAATTAAAATGAATCTTGAGGGTTAATTGTGCTTAACAGACACAGCTGACTTTCTTTCCTGTTTCTCCAATTAAACAAGTCATTCTTGATTCTTAATAAAACCAAATCTTTTAACTATATATCAAATCGTTCATTGACCAAGCTTGTTCAGTCAAGACAGTTGGATATTAGGCCCTGTTTTTCTGTGTGTGTTTTTATGGACCTTGACTTTGTCTCAGTCTATAGAATTGCGAAAAAAGAACTCAGCCAATACCCAGCCATCTTGAGCTCACACTTGGTCAATAATGCATATTTATAGGTGGCAGTAAACTGCTGGTGGACAGCTTTTAACCCTTTGCACCCTAACATCAGTATGCATATTCTCCATACTGTTCTCTATACAAAGTCATTTCTTGGGAGCTGACTAGGAGAATTTGTTCAAAAATCAAAAGTTTCTTTAATTGGTGATCATTTCCTTTATTCCATGACAGGACAGAAAACGCATGCACTGTAAGTACCTCCTGTCGTCCCACACTAAGCCTTAGAAAAGTTTTCTAAGGTTTTGTATGGGACAACGAGGTACTTACAGTGCACGCGTTTTCCATCCTGTCATGGATGACGTTGATGTGTGATTCAAGGTTGATATTGTAGGGAGAAATTAGATGTTGGTCACTCTTAGGAGTCAAAGAGTAAATGAAACCTTTTGCCATGTATGCCTCTTGGATGGATAGCAGCACTGTGACAGCCAAATGTCTTGTCTCAGAAGAGAACACAGTGATTCCAATCAGAGTTTATAAGATTTATTGTACTTAGAAGGATATATTGGTTGGTGTTGTTAAAGTGTACCTTTTTATCTGCTCCACATCAGTGAAGGGTTCACAACCTGTCCCAGAATACACTGTGCATCTGGGCATTTTAACAGAGACACAATCCAACACTTGTCGGAGAGGTTCCTGGGCAGGCTACATAAGTATGGTATGAAATGCACCACTTACAGGAATGAGCTGAGCTCTTTTGATGCCATGCTGAGAGACGAAAATAATTCTCAGTTAGGACTAGATGGAGGCAAAAGTTATGAAACAATCAAACAAAAACTTCAAAATCCCCATGCAATTCTCTGAGACTGAACATTTAATGCTTTTATGGACCTCCACTTCATCTCAGTCCATAAAAATGTAAAAAAAAATGCTTTCGCATTTACACATTGGTAGTTCAAGGGAACTTAACAGAACCGTAAGCCTTTGTATAGCTGCCCCCACAACTCAAGAAAAAATTTGCTTAAGGACCCTATTTCTTGACATCTTTTTAAAGGAAGGAAGTGGCAGTAGACTGGGTAAGGAAGCCCTTAACCCTTACAACTTGAATCAGTGTGCATAAATTATTCGCTATGCTGTTCTCTACACATTTCCTTCATACTGACGAGGAGAATTTGTTTCACAATCAAGAATTGCTTTGATTGGCACTGGCTTCCTTCATTCTCATTATTTTCCCGGTGTTAGCTATCATAAGGATCTTGTTATTATGAACTTTGAGGAATTAGCAATCCACCATGATGAAATATGTGAGTCCATTTTTCACACAATTATAAATAACAACAATCACTGCCTTTATAAGTAATTATCTGCACCACATGAATCTACTTATTCATTAAGGCGCGCGTAACCTTTTAACATGCTGCGTTTTAAAACCGACCATTTTAAGAATAGCTTTATTATCTTGTCTTGCCTTAAAGCAAGTAACTTATAGGTTAGTGTTTTTGAATTTCATATTTCAATAACCTTTATAGCATCTTATTTCCTGTTTGCCTTTTTATCCTTTTAATTAAGATAGATTAGTTAATGATTTTGATCTATAATTCAATTTTTGTAATGTAAATACACAATTCAGTTTTTGAACTGCCATGTATTTATGAATTAATAAACTTCAAACTTCAAACAAACCTTAAAGTTTAATTCAGCTGTTATCCTGCTGAATAGTCCCTTTTAGGAGAGAAAGAGTTAAATCCTCCTGTGAGGTGATCATAAAGGATGTTTATCGTATATACTGCAGTGTTTTACATGGATTTCTAGCCCAGATGAAAATCTGTAACAACACACATGATAAAATTGTGCTAATTTTTTTAAAGGTGTATTTGATGTAGCCAATCAGTTGGTGACAAATCACTTCCTTTTTGGGCCATTTGGTCAGGTTGATGAATTAATTGTAAAACGTTTGAAATTTTCAGTCCAAGGTGGTTCATCCAAATGTTCTCAGATTATTGCTGCTAAAAAAAAATTGTATCGCTTACAGACAGCAACATTTAAAATTTCCTTGAGAGGAAAGAAAAGCAAATACAAAAAGAAAATCTGAAAGTTAATTGGCTTTGGTGATGGCAATTGTCATGGCTGGAAGATTGCCACAGGCCGATTTGGGCCATAAACTGGTCTGAGGAAATTTCTTTAGTAAGAAAAAAGTTGATAACTCAGACATTTGTGCCACTAACAATCTTGTGAGTTAATAAAATTATTTCTGTCAGTGTAAATGCGTGAAGGTAACCTAGGAAGCAAAAACATAAACTGATAAAACTTCACATAAAGGTCATTGAATCTTGCTAATCTCACGCTTTGTTCAGCTATTTTGAAATGAGCTTAGGTTATGAACAACTTGCTTCCATCAGACTCTAAACAGAAACACTCAAATAGAAGTAAAGACTTTTCTGGAATGGCATGCCGATTGTATCTGACCTGATTTGAATAAAAGAATTGGATCAGGTCCAAATGAACTGTTTGTGGTTGATGAATCTTAGTAACTTAATATGCTGGTAAAATTTCAAAAACCAGACAAATTAAAAAAAAAAAATAGGTGCAAGACAAGATCTCCATTACCTAAATCATGAGACTATGCACGAAATTTATTCTATTATTTGGTACGTATAAGTTCTGCTCGCAATTACTCTATTACAAGCTTTGTTTGATATTGCCAATCAGGTGCTAACACGTCACTTTTCTTTCGCGCCACACAGTCACATTGATGAATAAATGCTAAAACAGTCGCCATTTTCAGTCCAAGGTCGTTTGCCCAAATTTTCTCAGACTATGGCCGCTAAGAACAATGAAAACTTTACATCGCTTACAGACAGCAACAATCAAAATTTCCAACAATCATATAATCAATCATAATGTTCAAGATTTGGAATTTAATGCACATCTTAGGGGGCATTGACACCCAACATGGAACAGCTAGACGACTCTGCATTTACTCCTTTTGACATAAAGTACATACAAAGCATTCTGGAACAATTAAATCCAAGAAAATCTGTTGGGATGGACAACATAATCTTCACATCTGCTGAGGCTATCTTCTCCAAGCGTCTCCACTGAAGATACAAAGCTCATCAACCATTTTATAAATACTCAAAGTATACACAAAGAATGGAAAAGCAGTAATATTATGCCAGTATACAAGAAAGGAAGTAAAACAGACAAAGCCAATTACAGACCGGTTTCTGTCCTAACCATATTATCAAAAGTCTTTGAAAAAGTTATCTATGATCAGATCTATCCAGTTATGTCACCTCTACTGTCCCGCAACCTATCGGGATACATGAAAGGTCATTCGTGTGCAACAGCAATTTTGAAGATGACTGAGGATTGGCGTGAAAGTTTGGACAAAGGAGAAACCATCGCAACTGTATCAGTAGATCTCAGCAAAGTGTTTGACAGCGTAAACCACAATTTGCTGCTGGCTAAAATATGAGCTTACGGTTTTTCTGAAGCAGCTACAAAATTGCTGGGTGAATACCTAAGAGATCCTCACCAAAGAGTTAAGATTGATGGCATATGCTCTGGCTGGAGAATAGTTAAAGCAGGTGTGCCACAGGGATATTTACTTGGTCCACTTTTGTTCAATACATTATCTTCATAGATGATATTAATTATTGTACATCTAATATGACGCTGAGATTATATGCTGATGATACCACCAGCTGTTCGTCTGATGCTTCTTTGACAGCATTACAGTTTATGGTTAACGAAGACTTGTTAACCCTTGCTACATGGTTTAAACAAAATTATCTCTCTATTAACAATACAAAGACTCAGGCCATGATTCTTGGTTCTTCGACATATGAATATGAGATCCAAATTAATGGAATCAAAGTAGATGTTAAACCCACTTTGAAAATCTTGGGTGTCACCTTGGATAAAAGACTTTCCTTTAAGGAGCATATCACTGAACAGCTTAAAAAAGTTTATGCAAAGACTGCCGCCTTAACTGAAAAGAATCTCCCAATTAATATCGGTGAACACTATGATATTATTAAATAAAGCATTCATTGTCCCACATTTAGAATATTGTAGCATGTTATTTATTGGTCTTGGCAAAGTGCAGGCCAATAGACTTGAAGACACTAATTATTACATTATTTTTAAGAATGTTATTTAAACGTATATGTGCACGATCCTTCGCAGTAAAGCACTATTTGAGCAATAGTGAAAATCAGACCTGAAAAAAATTTCAGGCCTGTACGGGATTCGAACCACTGACCTCTGCGATACTAGTGCAGCGCTCTACCAATTGAGCTAACAAGCCAACTGGGAGCAGGCCATCAAATTAATTCGACATAAACCCGTAGATGAGAAATCAAACAACAACAAACATATGAAACATATGTATGAACTGCGGTTATGAAACGTATATGTGCACGATCCTTCGCAGTAAAGCACTATAAAGTTAAAAATATCAGTTGTGAAAGTCCTTTAGAATTAGTTAAATCAAGTGCTTAAAGACGGCGTAGGTATTATCAGACATTGATTTTGATAATTATATAAATGCCTTAATTCTATTGGTCCTACGGTATTTATGTTACTGACTTTTTAAATTCAAGACATGTAGGCTATAATCTCAGGGGTCAAGGCAGTAATCTGGCTCAACCTCATTTTAATTCTGAGTGGCTGCATAAATCTTTCTCTTTCATTGCCAGTAAGCTATGGAATAAGTTACCTATGGAAGTTAGGAAAAGTGAAAACATCAAGGCTTTTAAAACAGCTTTGAAGAAGTTTGACTTGGAATTTGCTTTGGGGATTTCTTCAGTACTGCATATTTCATATATAAATCTGGTTAGAAGGGACAGTTAATTAAAGATGAATTATACATTAGAGTAGTTATAGTAGTTGGGGATTTCTTACTGCACATTTTTGGTTCGGAAGGGACGGGTCATAAATCATAAATAATTGTAAAAGATTATAATGATTTTCATACTCTTTTTATTATATGTTATAACATATTTTTTAGTATTTAGCACGTGCACGTTCTTGTAATGAGCTTTGTTGTAAGCTCTTTTGTGTTCAACGAGAATAAATAAACTTTTAAAATACTTACTTACTTACAAGGGGAAGAGAACCAAATACAAAAAGAAAAACCCACATTTTAATGGCTTTGGCTAAAGCATTTCTCACGGCTGAAGATAAAAACTGACAACTGGAAGTTTACCACAGGCCGATTTTGGCCGTGAACCTGTCTTATTTCTTCTATTGGTAACGAAAAAGTTGACAATTGTGAATTTTGCAAGTGGAAAGTTAAATTCATTGTCTCCTTTCGTAATCATTCAATTAATGCATTTATTCATTTTGAGCCTTGTTGCCCAAGCACTTTCCAACTTTCATGGATTGAATTCATTAATAAAGTCAACTTTTCTTGTCAGAAAAGGCCTGCTTTTTTACATGATAACCGCAAAAATACATAGTTGCTTGTAGAAATAGAATTTCTCTTCTCGTGTCCAACACAATATCTCACAGGAGAGCGCAGCATATCGAGTTGCACACTCAAAGAGAAATTCCATATCTACCCTTGCCTATGTATTATTCTCTATCAATCATACCTTAGCCTTTCCAAACTCCAGAATATATTTCACAGACGACTTGTCACCTCCTATTACCCAGCCACCAGGGAAAAGATAATTTGCCACACATGCCACTGGCTCCTCCATGCCATTACTGTAAGACCACTCTTTGGCGTGATCACAAAGAAGATGAATATCCAAGTCTGGTGGGGCCAAAATTGACACCAAACCACTGGGGTATTTATCGGAAGCTTCCTGCATGGCTTGGGCACGTACTTGGACTACTTTTAGGCCTAAATAGTTCAAGAAAGGTAAATTATTTTGCAGGGGTTTCATTAATCTTTTTCATAGGGAGCTGCCAATGGTAATGTAAAACCCAAACACAAGGGCGTTAAGAGCCACAAAAAGTGTTACAAGTGGCAGTAACATGTTCAGTTCAGCAATTCCCAAACAGGGAAAAGGAATAGAGAAACTCATAAGCAAGAATATTTCATTTTGATAAAACCACACTAACTAACTTACTCAGTCAAAAAGAAATGGGTGGAGCTATGGATCAGATCTTATGGTTTATAGAAAACTAACTAAGCAATGTAAACACTTGATTGCAAAATCCTTGACATCTAAAAAGCATTTACAATGAATGACAAGACCCTATGCCAGGTGTACATGATTATCATCATTAGCTACATGTGGAAAATGATAGATGTTATCCAAGCTTTCCAGAAAGAAAAGGATCATCACAAAAAATTTTTTACATGAATAATGAGAAAAGTGAATCACTGATTATGTATCTGTGCCAACATTTCCCATGAAGCCATTTGGTCTAAATCATCCATGGGCCATGCTTTTAAGGCATGAACATGTTTTTAATCTCATGTATCTTCCTTCATGCTAGAGTAACCAGAGTCTGAAGTTCTAGATAATCTGAGTAAGCTACATGTACCAACAACTGGCTTGTTAAATATATCTTATTAACCAAGCGCGAGGGCCGTACTGGGAGAATATCAGCCCTCGGTATTTTTTGTACGGACCGAGCGCAGCGAGGTCCATACAAAAAAGACAGAGGGCCAATATTCTTCCAGTACAGTCCCAAGCAAGCTCGGTTAATATGAGATTTATTATACGACTGAAGTTCAAAGGGACACAGATGCGGTATCACCCAGGACCATTTGGGACAGTGCCCAGTCCAATACTGAGAGAATATTGACCAGCAATAGAGCATTTTGATTGGTTGATTTTAGTTATTGGCCCTCTGGCTGCCCGAGTTGTGTAATAAAAGACTAAAATGAATGCTTACTCATAAATTCCTACCATCTTCAAAGGAAAGTGCTCCTGAGAATATCAAGGCAGACATCTCACCAACGCTAAATCCAGCAGTGACCATGTTAGGATCAGGTTCATCTGATCCATTTAGGCAGACCTGTAAAAATACAAAGCAATCAATTATGTTTGATAAAGGGTAACAGGTCTTAGGTTAGTGTTGACCTGGGCTGCATTGTTCAAACCTGGATTAAGATAACCCAGGGGTTAGTGTTAAATTTGAATTAAGTTTTGAAAGCTTTAAAGAAAATTCAGTACCATTAATTTTTGTCTACAATTTGATTATTGGATGCCCTAAAAAGAATCGAGAAAATTATCCAAAAAAGGCTTTTAAGGAGTAGAGAAACCTGGATTAAAATTTAACCCTGGGGTAGTGCTAACTGGACTTCAAACAACCAGGCCTTGGATATCAAGTCCAAAGATCTGGGATCAAGACCAGGACATTGTGTTTTCTTTCTTGAGCACTTTCCTCTTACAAACCCTCTCCTTATAACTGGGAACTGGTGAACTGTCAAGGAAGCCTGAGAAAAGCCTTAAGGGGGGGGGGGGGAATTGTATTTTGTTTCTTGGGCAAAACACTTTCCTCTCCGGCAGTGCCTCTCTCTGCCCAACAGTATAACTGGGTAACAGTGAACTGGAAGGGGGAACCTGATAAAACCTTGGGGGTGTACTGTTTTGTTTCTTGAGCAAAACACTTTCTTCTAACAGTGCCTCTCTCTCTTCGCAGTAAAGCACTATGTGTAATGGACTGGCATCACATCCAAGGAAGGTTAAAATACACCTATTTGCCCTGTGCTTCCGAAACCAGGATAACTTCCGGCTGAATGGACCGCTCGGCTCAAGTACAGCTTTTGAGCTGTTTTTCTCTCATCTGACTTGCTACTAACTCTTAAATCTTTTGGCAGGAGACATTCAAATACCTTTGCGCCTGTGACTTTCGCATGTTGTAAAGCAGCTAGAGAGGCGACAACAATTGCAGGCTGACAGTGCACTGTCTTATTTAAATCTTCCTCAGGGCCATGCAAACATATGCTCAGTAGGTGATATCCCAAAATCTCCTGAGCGTCCTCAAAAAGCTGCAATACTGTTCTCTCTTCGAGCAAGCGCTGGCACATCCCGACAAATTGAGCTCCTTGCCCGGGAAAGAGAAAACAAGACGAAGAATTCCATCTTGGGCGTCCATAGTAGTTACCGAAAAACATTCGCAAACGACACAATGTTCTAGCGATCATAGCTAATTGAGCACAAATTGTGCGCTATGTTGTGCTCTGTACCACGCTCCCACGCTCACTCAATCCTCCATATCTTTCCTGAGTCGGCGAAATATTTTTGTTTTCAGCGGTCTAAGTTGTGAGAGGTTCGTGGGATGAGTCTGTGATAGAGAATCTAAGATGGCGGAAGATGTGAATCTCCAAGCGTCCGTGTATGACGAGGATTTGTGTGAAAATCCTTTCTTTAAGTACATGCAAACAAAGCAAAAACAAATATACGATGAAGCAGCTAGCAAAAGATGGACGGTAGGTCTGATTATTTTGATATTTGTGATTGAATTTTCGCAGACAATTGATGCAAAGGTGACATCTTAAATTTTCCACTGCAGTTACATGAAGCTCTCTCCTATGCACCGAACTTATTAAACTTTCCCCATTGAATTTCTGAGTGATTTTTTGTCCCTTACTCAACTCAGTATGGGAAATTGCTTCATTTCAAATTGTCTTCAGAATACCCGGCCATATCATTTACATGTCATTGAATAAGAATAGCGTCAATTGTGTTATACCTCATTTTTCAAAGCCTCCCGACATATGTAAATGATGTGGACGGGTATTCTGAAGTTGCTCCGTTTTTTTGAAAGGCATTTCGAATAATTCCCAGGAAGGCAGATGTACGTAGAGGTGGACTTTCATCGATCCTTTCTCTTTCGTGTTTTAAATCTTAACCAGGATGGTGTTGAAGACAGCACTTGTTTGCATGTGCTTCAGTGAACTTAATCTTAATCCAACTTTTATGCAAGAGAGATTTACTTAAACAATGTCTCAAAGTGAATCTAAGAGGTTTTTTGCAGAGCCAAAATCTCAATAGGCCATTTTACAGTTTTGTACTTAGTTGCCAAGCCTTTGATTCAGAGTGGCTAATCTATAATCTACCGAGGGAAACAACCATAAATGACTTGAGAAATCTAAAGGGTTGGTCTCCCCTTTCCCACTTCTACACAAAAAGGATCCTATCAATAACTTACAAATCATTCCATGGGCTCAATAATGATCTACTTAATAAACTAGTTACAAAAAGTGCCCAAGTGTATGGCCTTAGAAAATCCTTGAACATAAATGTAACAAGACCAAAAACTGAAACAGGACGATTGACCTTTAAACATAGGGCTGCCATTGCTTGGAATACCCTCCCGGACAGCATAAAGGAGGCGTCCAGCCTTGAAGCTTTCAAAGAAAAACTGAAGAAAAACAAACTGATCTTGAGCAGTATATCTTATTCAAAGGAATCTTCATCAATTACAAATAAGGACGATATTTATACATATTTTTGAACTAATTATTGTAATACTAGTAACTTCTATATATGTGTACATATTTCTATTTCTTAATTAAGTGTAAATTTTAAAATTAGTCAGCAGGTCCACATCAGGACTTTAGTCTTCCCTACCTAGTAACCTGCTTTATCAAGTTAACCATGTATGTGTATGTATGTATGTATGTATGTAGTGAGGCTGAAGGTGACCTTGTTGTGATAGAGACCTGTATCTACTTAGCATGATAACAAAGTGATTTATATTTGAAAGGCAGCAAGGTTTGTATCATAACAAGGGCAACCCTAGCTGCACTCCCATTCAAAGGCTTGGCAACCAAGCACACAACTGTAAAATGGACTATTCCTAAGTGACAAAGATGGCACAGTGTCAGGCATCATCAGCAAGATTCATATTTTTGTAATTAACGTACATAAATTCATATTTTTGTAAATAATGTACATAATAAGGT